ATGGGTCCTGGATTTGGGATGCATTCTGTAAGTCAACCTATTTGATGTACCTCAAATGGTTCAGAAATTGTTGATCTATGATGCACTTAAATTAAAACTTAGGGGAAGGAAAGTTTAAGTAGTATATAGTTAGTCAAATTGTTTCTTTCTTTTTTTTTTCCTTTTAGGTGATTTACTGTGGATATTTGGAAACTTAACTTCCACAACTGGTTGAATTGCTTTTTGATGTTTTTGTATGAGAAGATGGAGAAAAATATTTAAAATAAGTTTTAAAATCACATCAATATATTGCCTTAATTGATTCTTTGAATTTGGAAAATTGTGATAATAAATTATTCTTAGTATTTAAAGTTCTAATTTAAATAGAGGATTGTTTCTTTCCTGTACATAAAATATTATAAATGCAAGCAATAAAGCAGTTTGGTCTGAATACAGGTAATTTTGTTGAATTAATACACTTGTCTGCATAGATTGAGTTTTGTTCAGTTTCCTGAAGACTATTAAAGTGGCAGAATAATTGCTTACATCTTAATTTAAAAGCATGAAGGATTTGGAAAAAGCCATTTAAGTCATCAAGTCCAGCCCCCTGTTTAGTGCAATAATACAAATTAAAACATTCTGTCCAGTTTCTAATAGAACAAGCAAAGAAGATTTGACCACCTTCTCCCCCCATTAAGAATTGCCTAACATTTTACTGGAATCTCCTTAAGTAAGACAGTTATCCCTAGTCACCAATCTGGAGTAATATAAAATGGACTTTGGTAGAGGGCTGCTGAATTTCAGTGTTATTTAGGGAAGAGACTCCATAAAAAAGGCACACTACCTAGCTTCCATCAGATAGCAATATTTAGGACCTACTCTCTCTGACCTGGTAGGACCAGTAGAAGTTCTTAGGGAAAAGTATAGGTGTCTTATAGACCCGGGGTTTCCAACCCCAGGCTGCAGCCCACTATCGGATCACAGCCTGTTAGAAACTGGACCATGCAAGCACTGGACAAGCTGTCACGTGAAGCTCCACTTGCATGAGCAGTGGGCCCATGCGCTTGGATGCAAAGCTCCGCTTTTATGAGTGGAGGACACTTGAGCAGAGGGAACTTGTACTCTTGCAAAACTATTCACACAAGCACTCTGCATGAGTGGAGCTTCGAACGCTTTCCGCTTGCATGCAAATGGAGTTGTGAGTTTGCGCCTGTGCCTGACACTCACAATTCCCCCTCCCGGGCCTGGAAAGGTTTGGGAGCGCTGAAATAGAACTTTAAAGCTAATAAGCAGCACTTTGTTTAGTACCCAGAACAAAACTGAAAGCCAGCGCAGCTTGCACAGCAAAGGTGTTACATGGGCTAACTTACTCTGCTGCTGCATTCTGGATCGGTTGTTCTAGATGATCTTTAAGGGCAGCTCCCTGTAGAGTGCATTGAGTAATCCAAACACATTCTCACAGACATCCAGGTTGCAACAGCTGTCTAAAAGGACTTACTTTCCTTCATACTTCTTTAAGGCAAGCAGTTAAGAGACTATAAATAACTAATATACCCTAATCGAGTATCCTGACCCTGTACTGTATCTTCAAGTCACATTAACCTCCTTTATAAACCTCGAATTTTTGCCTGGAACTTAATGTTATCAGTTGCCTGGTCATACTCATTGAGGCAGCTCCTGGTAGCATTGTTCTGGAGGCCTTCACCAGTGTGAGAGGAGAAGTAGAATGGCCCATTATATATTTTTTGCATGAAAAATTGCACTATGACAATACTACCCTTTACCTTTTCTGGGCAGTACTTTCTTAATTGAGAGTGATTACAGTTAGCCCAAATTCCTCCAGTTGCTTTTTGTGCCTAAAATAGAAGTTGTGGTCGTCTCATTTCTAATCTAGTATCTTTTAAGCCCCATAACAAAATGGTACTCTGACTAAAACTAGCTTGCATTAAAATATTCCCCTATTCATCTGAGTATCTTTGGAAGTCATTCTGCTTCCTTCAGGTTCATATACTGATTTGTAGACTAAAGCTGTTCTATCATCCCATGGTCATCTGATCGACATTCAGGTGCTTGTCAGCCTGCCCACACTTAGGAATTTTGAACACATGCTGGCAGGGGCTCTTTGAGTCCTCCACCATCTCTGCCCTTTTGACCATCATGCAACTGGCACTCCTTGATCGTGACAGCAGCACTGGTGCTGACCAAATGGCCAGGGTTCTCAGCAATCTCAGCCTGCTGCCCCTGCTTCCAGGCTTCTACTTCAGCCTAGCGCCACTACCAAGGAGTCCCACCTCAAGCCCCATGCCACAACCGGCCACCGCAGCACCACAGTGCAAAGCCCCAGCTGTGTCTGCCACTCTGTACTTGGTTCATCTTGCCAACCCGGCTGTCTTGCGCTCTGCTCACCCTACCAGCCCTGCACTCCATTTGCCATGGCTGTCTAGCCTCCCTGTTGCTCAGCGCTCCATTTGCCACACCATCCAACTGGCACTGCTGCCCTGTGTTCTCCTCACCCTACAGAGGTAATGGAGTATAAGGCAACCAGATGGGCAGAAGATAGGCAGATGATAGAAATTCTAGTCTAATAATGCCATTATTTCCTGAGGACTTCCTTGATACAATGAACTTCTTTGATTACAGAAAAGACACACTACATTTTGGCACTCTGGAAACCTTATGAACTTTTTGCATAAAAAATGGGGGGTGGGACTTTATAGTTTTCATGATTAGTCAGGATAGATTATAGACAAAAAGTATGATGTAACTTAGGTTAAATAAGTGAAGAACATTTGAAGCTACTTTGTATCTTTTTTCTTTCCTAATTCAACTTTTTTCTTTTTTTTGCACTTTTTGTTTTCTCTTTGCTTGCTTTCTCTTTTTCTTCTTTATAATACTTTGCACTAGTTTTTAATCTTTTAAAAACATTTTAATAAAAAATCATATAAAAATACCTTGAGCTATTTTATTTTCGTTGTTTAACTTTCTTGTTCTCCTTTCCCCAACTGCAAGCCTAAAGAAATATTTATGTTTTTATTCTTGTTATTTTGGCTCATGCTGCCAAGCAGTAGCAAATTATGAAGATAATATGTATTTGGATATATTTGATGAAACACATGCTTATGACCTTTCAGTGGGATTGATAAGGAGGATGTACTTCTAAGGGTAGGACAAACATTGAAATTTTAAATGGGTTTAAAATTCTCCCAAGTGCTGATGAATTTTGGTTTTATCAAAGTTCACCCAATAAATGCAGTGGGTACAACACTATTCTTTTTAATTTTTTCCCCAACATAGTTTGCAATTTCCTTTAAATCACAGTTTAAATAAATTGGTAAGTAAAAGTTTGCATAAGTGGAATAGCTGAAAAAGATTAGCATTTCATATAAAAGTCACTTCATCTCACTGCATTGGAAAAAGAATACACTGGTGCCATCCCGAAGCAATTATCACAAAGTTCTGATAATTAAACAACAATGACAAAACAAACTTTCCACTGAGTACAGAACAGATTTGACAAAAATTATGCAGTTATGGGTAGGGAGAATTGTTCCTTTTGTACTGTGCCAGAGTGCTTCAAACCCGGTTACTAATATGTTTGTTTGGATTAGATTTAATCCAAAATTAGATTTAGAATTAGAGAGAGAAGAACGCATACTGGAGAGTAAAGAAAGAAAGAATATGGTATGCACTATGCAAGATGCAGCACATTCACAAACCTTGCCCCTATTTCTGGACCCATGTTGCCAGGATTAGATTCAAAGTATTTCATAGAACAAGGGAGCCAGCAAACCTAGAAAGTACTATAAAGACAATATTTTCTTTCTATAGCTGATATTTACCCAAATGGAAGACAACTGAATATAAGGTACATCAATTCAAATGGAAAATTGGACACCAAACTTCTTACCTGCCTCATTTAATGTATTATCAATTAATTGAAGACAATCTTCTCATTTTAATCATAAATTACTTGGGGTGGGAGAAACCAGCTTCAATTTCAGAAAAGGAATTGTCCTTCCCTAGTTTTCTGCTGATATTTTCTTAAGTATCCCAGCTGTCTGCCTCTTCTGTATTATTATATACCACTCCCTTTTTACAATCTTATAATCCCTTAATTTGGGGTAGAGTCTGAGTGACTGGATAAAGCTGAGAGTTTACTGGCCTTCCTGACGCGGCACAGAGTTCGCAGGAGATAGTTTTTCTTGTTGCCCTAGGAGAGAAATAATTGCCACTACTTCGAATTGAACCCTCAACCTTCCAAGTGGGAGGTGAGCGTCTTCACCACTAGGCCACCATATCACTCTTTCGCTATGATGGTATAAAAGATACTTATTCAAATCCCTTTTGGTCTCTTAATTTATAGCTTATAGTTGTAATAATGAACTCCCCCTTCCCCCTTCTCTATGTAAAAATACTCTTGGTGATAAAAGTGTATCTGAGAACAAACTGAAAACTCTGTGTAATATTCACAAACAATACTCTGTAATCTAGTTCTCGGAGTTATCTTAAGTGGCAAATGTCTGGCAGCTCTCTCTTCCCGTTCTAGCCTTTGCTTCTTGGATTTCAATTCCAAACATGGTTATCTATGTAGCGCCTCTCTCTTCTTTGCATGCCTTAGTGCTATACATTCCAAATTAAACACTAGTGCCCTCTGCTTGTCTTCCCCACCCCTTTAGCCCTCCCTGCTGCTCTTTCACTGTGTCTATTTTAATTTATTTCAAGGCAGGGGAGAAAACAAGCTGCAAACTCTCTTAGCTACTCTTGAATTTTCCACTCCAGTTCTCAAAAGGTGCTTCCAGGATTGAATTTCTTATGCTTCTACAAGTTCATCAGCAAGGTCTTAAATCCCACGAGGAACGCTGGGTATTGCAATTTGTGGAAAAGAACTTCACGAGTTGTTGGATGCAAATACATAATTTGAGAAATGTCCCTCTAAAATCTCCATAGAGGTGTAGAATAGGAATTGGTTTCTGTGTATTCTGTTAATTTCAAAGTGAGTTAGGTATAGAAGTTACAGGAAAATGAATGAAGAAAATACACTTTTGGATCGGATAATTTTTAATCCGGTTTTGTGTGAGAACTGGAAATACTTTATGGAAGGAGCAGCCTATCACCTCGCTAATTTATTCTTCCTCCTTGGCTATATGGGAGGTAGTGGAATCTTTGGTGCCATCTATATTTTTGGGTTGTTGTTCATTGGCTTTCTTTGCTCTGTTGTATGGGGATGGTTCAACGCTTGTGGATTGGACATCGTCATTTGGAATGTGCTTTTATTTCTGATCTGCTTGTTTCAGCTAGCACATTTAATTTACCAACTCCATAAAGACACATTTTCTGAAGAATTTGATCTCCTGTACAAACAAATTTGCCAGCCTTTGCAAGTGCCTCTCCAAACTTATAAAGAAATAATCAAGTGCTGTGAAGAACAGGTCTTGCCTTTGGCCAAAGATCAAACCTATGCTGTGGAGGGCAAGACATCCATAGATCGTTTGTCCTTCTTGCTGTCTGGCCGGTAGGTCTCTCTTTCTTCTGAAAATATCCCTTGTGATAGTGGTGCTTTTGAAGACTACTAAGTGGTTTCAAAGGATAGAGAGGCATAGGAACTGCATGCATTATGGAAGAAAACCCCATTTTTTCACCCCAATCTACATATGAGGATTTGCATAAGAGTGTGCATAGTCGTTATTTCTGAGATTGGCTTGTTTACCTGAATAAAATGGGGAGGGAGTGCATATGAGGAAGCATTTGATAATGTGAGTTATCATTTTCAGTATGTATTTGTACAGCGCAGAAACAAATTTTAAGTGTACGGCTTTAGCCCTCTTAATTTTAAAATACTAATATAAAATATAAAAGGAGGGTGATAAGTGGGAAAATGAAAATTAATGGGCTAAGGCCACATTGCTTCTCTGTTGCAAACTGACTCTTCCAAATTTAGGAAGGTTAATATATTGTGGATATAGGAGGCAGGACATGGGGTGATTTACAATACATTCTCAGTTATTTAACAACAATAGCAAGAACTTTATCTTCACTCTAAATTGTTGAATGGAAAATATTTCGCATATTAAAAGGATTTGCTTGTTAGTTAGAAAGACGATTAGCTTTATTTCAAGTGAAGAGTTGAACAATTGCTGAGCTTAGAATCCTTTAATTCTATTTCCTCTCTCCAGAATTTTTTTTGGGGGTGGTGGTGTTTCCCTGTTTTTAATAAAAAACAAAGTAGACCCTCCTGCCCTGAAAATTGTTCATCCTATTTATAATCTTTGAAACTGAATATAATGTATGTAATATATGAATATATATGTTCACAAATGGCAGATTTTTTTAAAAAAGCTTTAAAAGTAATAGGTTTTATAGAATCATATTATTTAGTGAGACATTTCTAAAGTAAATAACGAGAGAGATTGGCCCATATTAAATGCATGTCTTCACTACTAATCCCTACTGCCACAGAGTATTATTTATTAGAAAAGATACAGCTTCTAAAATATTTTATATAAAATATAAAAGTCCCCTTAAAAGAGGAGGTGGAGTTGCACTACATGTAAAAGACCATTACATTGATTTTAATTTTTTTTTTGATTTTATTTTACATTTATAGGCCGCCCTTTTCCCTGAGGGGACTCAGGGCGGCTTACAATGGTAAGGGAAGGGGAGTGAAAGACAAATACAGAAAAAAAAATGTGAAATAACAAAAAGTAAATTAGACACAACATTCACTCAGCATTCGGGA